ATTATTGTATATTAATTTTGTTCAACAATACTTCACCAAAGAAATTCAGCACCGACTTGTAATTTGCTGGATAATGGGAGTCCCACGCATAATAACATCTCAACAAACAAAGAATGGATTTGGCAGCAGTAGAATTTTCAACTTTTATTTTTATAATATTATTGGCACAAATAAAAGCTAAATATACTAATTTTCCCTCTTCTTCAAAAAATTTTGTTATTATGTCATAATGATAAAATCTTCAAACTTTAATTCTGATTGTTCTTAGCAACGCCTCTCAATGCACTTCATAATTCATCAGAATATAACGTCTTGAAAAAAAACATTTTACTTTAATAAACGTTTAATTTCAGTAAGATGTTCTGTTTTTCGGCGTCTGGAGAAAGTAAACGTTCAACTATCATAGTAAACTAAAAAAAAATAAGCAAACCAAAAATATTTAAGCAAACTTACAAAATATCAAATTATCCACCAAACGAAGTAGTCAACGTTCTTTTTATTTTTGGTAAATGTTATAGGAACTACAGACATGCGACTACAGACACGCGTTTACGCTTAACGATATCCTGATCGCCGAAATTCGGCTGATCGGCAAATCCGCAATATTGAAAGAAGATCTCGCAGGAATCCATTCTATTACCAAAAGACGGAAAAGAGACTTCAGAATAATAATGATTCTAGAGTTTTTGCAGTGTTGGGAATGGCCCATATCAATCCACATATTAGTACTCGTCAAGCGGAACGTCAACTAGGAGTTCCAAGAGCTACTGTTCATCAAATATTACAATCGGTTCGATACCGTCCTTACCATATAACTTTTGTAGAGAAATTAAGCGAAGATGACCACAGAATGTGAACACAATTTTGTAGATGGGCACTCAATATATTAGAAAAAGATCCAGAATTTTTCTGGGTTTGGGGATGAAGCAACATTCCATAGTAATGGTCTGAATAGACATAATTGTTATTATTGGTCATCAGTGAATCCTTATTGGTATCGAGAAATGCTTCACCAACATCCCTTCATGTTTGGGTGGGAATATGCCATGGTCAAATCATCGGACCTCTTTTTTTTGAACATACCGTCTCCGGTGCAACTTATTTAGAATTTCTTCAGAATAATTTGCCAGAATACTTTTGAGAACATTCTATTGGATATCCAGAGATGTTGGTTTCAGCAAGATGGTGCTCCAGTGTATTTTCATCATGATGTTAGGACCTTTTTAATGAGTAATATCCAAATCATTGGATAGGTCGAGGAGTTCCGTGGCCTCCAAGATCACCAGATCTTATCTGCTGGCTTTTTTCTCTTGGAGTTATTAAAAAAATGCTGTTTACAAGAATGCACTGACCATCAGATTAGATATGATAAATAGAATAAGAAGAGTCTATGAAGCGATAACTCCAGAGGTACTGAAATCAGTATCAGAAAACTTTAAAAGTAGATTTTGATTGTGCTTACGGAATGACGGACATTTTGAACATTTGATTTGAAGACCTGAGTGAAGCTCAATTGTGTTCTTCCAAAAGAGTCATCTACTAATCTAACCTTAAGTGGATGGATTAACCATTAATCTTGCTTTAATTAGCTAAACCCTCCCCGATTTTGCCTTCATTAGCTGGATCGTTTCCGATTTTACCTCAATTGGCTGGATCGGTCTTGCTTAGATTGACTGAATAATTTCTGATGTCGCCTTTATTGGCTGGAACATCTTCGATCTAATATACCCTGTCTAAAAGCGTAAAAAACTGTGTTAAACTGAATCCGTAATGAAAAATCGGGCCCCTCGGTCGAGGAAACTGAATTAGGTCTAATTGAGCCCAACCTGGGCCCAGACTCAAAATCTCATCAGCTTTATTAGGAAGAAAAAACTGTCCTAAGCCTGAATCCGCCTAAAAATAAAGAGTTCTATGCAAGAAAATCGACTTGGGTCTTATTGGGCCTAAAATGGGTCCCAAATGTAACAAGCTATGTCAGATGCAAAAAAGTATCCTCAATCTGAATCTGAAATGAAAAATATGGGTTTTCATTCAAAAAAATCAACTTAGGCCTCACCGGGCCCAAATCTAAGTAATCCATCGGATAGCCCTTTCGATTTCCTAAACATTTGGTCTCTTGTCATTTTTTGGAACAACCCGTTTTTTCCGAGATATTTCGATGCAAAAGTTAAAATAGGACGCCCTGTATATTTTGTAGATATATCTATAGAAATTTAATCCAAACTCTGTTCTTGTACTTTGACCTTTGATATTTATTATTTGAAAGACGCTCATAACGATGCTATATATAATGCTATATATATATTGTTAAATACATTTTTAATAACTTATCTGTGGAAGGGGGAGATTATTGTAAAAGAAAAAGCAAAAACAAAAAAAATAACTTGCAGCCTATCGCGACCTCTCTCGAAACTGGCGACAGTATCGTCTTCGTGGGAAAGCGTGATACACGCGGCTGTCACGCGGTCAACGACTGATGATAAATGCATGCATGCATCACACACATGCGAAGAATCGCGATCGAATCACCCCAGGTCTCAGTTCTCGTTGATCGACACTTCGTATTTCGTAGTACTCAGTAATAATTACGATCGATTCGAAACGCATCCTCAAAGAGCATTTCAAGTACTCGTTTCTTTCAAGTTTTGATATCAGCAAAGTGCTTCTAATCCACGTTGCAAAAATGAGCAAAAAGCAAGCACTTACTGATTCGAAAATCACACTCGTCGAATCTCCCGAAAAGTTAACAGACGTCGCATGTGAATCAAAAGAATCAAAAGAATGCTATTCAAAGAGGAAAAAGGAGCAAGTGCCGAGCGAAAAATCGGTAGAGAAAATTAAAGAAAATGTAAAGGAAATAACGAGAGTGCATGAAGTGCACAAGGCGGAATTTCAGAAGATTATCAAAGATGTCAAGTCTTCCGAAATCTCTACCGAAACTCCTCAAGTAATGAAAATACGCGAAACTCATAAAGCAAAATCTACAAAGGATATTAAAGATGATCAATTGGACATTTCTAGTAGAATTTCTGAAACTGGCCCTGTCAAGGATACGAAATCAACTGAAGATGCGAGCAAAACGAAAAAAATTCCTGTCATCGAACAAATTGTAAGTTTTTTTTCAAAGACATAATTATAAGACATAAGACATAAGACTCTAGTAAATTAAATAAAATAAAAGTAAATAATGTAAATAAAAATTTGGTTTACTTATTAATTTGATTTTGAATACTTATATATAATATTTATTTTTCGGGATAAGTTTAATCAAATTTAATAAGGAAATTAATTAATTAATTATAATAACAACGAATTAAGTAATTAATAAACTTTCTACTTAATATTTATTAAGTAAATTAAAATATTTATTAAGTAGTATTAAAAATTACTAATGAAGGAAAAGTTATACAAACCATGGAACGCGGCCGTGCCTAGGACTTGGGCACCAATGTCAGCGCCAGACCTAAATGAACGTCCTTTCGTCCTAGCAACGCATCTTGTTCCTTCATTGCCGATCGGACTCTTCGAGGTGCTCGCGGAAATTATTGAAGTTGTCACGAAAAAACCGGTCATCTTGCTTCACGAGTCCAGAATTGGCCGACCAATCGCCCAAAATATTACTGATATAGGTATGTTAAGTACAGGAATTATATGATCCTACGACATAAATAAATACAATTTTTCATGGAAAAATGTCTGAAAGACGTGTTCTTTCAGAAGTGACTTTTTTAAGATTTTTTTCTTTTTTTTAACTGCTGCTAAAACTTTTTAACTATTGCTAGACATGTTTATGATCGTTGTAATATATTGTATCTATTATATCCTGTGACGTCATCATATTCTCTTTAATCTGCCTTAAATAGATTAAAATTTGAGAAACTTTATTGTTTAACAATTGGAGCAATAAAAGTGCACAATATCATTTTGTTAAAAAATCATGATAATAAGATAGAAATTGTATCTTATTTATTTTTGCAGCTATCCTGCCAGCGGCCGAAAATTGGAAAGATGGTGTGCTTTTACCCGTTAGTTTGATTTTCAAGCATCATTTGAACAAGAACAATTCGCCCTGCGTATACGCAGATATAATCGTCGCGAATGATCGTGCTACACATGTTGAAGTAAATATATTTTTTTGTAGAATGTTTTAGTGACACAGAGAAAAACGGTTTGATAAATCAATTAATTTTAATTAACTAGATATACAGGATGTTCATTTGAAAACTTTCCAGCTGATTATCTCGAAAAGTATGAAAGATACAAAAAAAAGCTAAAACACGTATTCCATGATTTCGAGGGGGAAAGAGAACGGCATTATCAATTTTTTATTTGGAAGGCGTTTTCAACGTAATTTGAAGGTCAAATTTGTTTTTTTAAATGGAAACTTATATTTTTTATTGCAGAATTTTATTCTACACAAAAAAACAAGTAACTTCTATAGGAAACATTTTTTTATTTGATCACTATTTTAGGAGATATTTAAGAAAATAGTAAGGCCTAGTTACTGCATAAAATTTTGTCATTTATTATAACAAATGTTCAAAATGTTCTCCGTTGTTTGCTAAACAATAATAAAGACGATTCTCAAATTCTGAACGAACATTTTGGAAGGTATCTGTTGGAATCTACATTCCTGTACAATTCTTTGACGCAAAGAATTAAATGTAGCAGCAGTTCTACGAGCACACTGATCTTTTTCTCCATAAATAAAAATAATTTTAACTCGTTCTTCTAAAGAATACACCATTTTATAAAGTTTAATTGTGATATTCCTTTAGATAATCTCTGGTACAAGTCTCACATTTGACTGAATAGTACACTGTTCTATTGAAAGACAGAAAGGAACGGGATTTAACACAACATAAACGATCTGATCAACTTTGTTTTCGAAAGATACGTATAAATATCAACAATTTGCGTCAAAGTATTGTACAGGAATGTAGAGCTATTCCAACAGATACCTTCCAAAATGTTCGTTCAGAATTTGAGAATCGTCTTTATTATTGTTTAGCAAACAACGGAGAACATTTTAAACATTTGTTATAATAAATGACAAAATTTTATGCAGTAACTAGGCCTTACTATTTTCTTAAATATCTCCTAAAATAGTGATCGAAATAAAAAAATGTTTCCTATAGAAGTTACTTGTTTTTTTGTGTAGAATAAAATTCTGCAATAAAAAATATAGGTTTCCAATTAAAAAAACAAATTTGACCTTCAAATTACGTTGAAAACGCCTTCTAAATAAAAAATTGATAATGCCGTTCTCTTTCCCCCTCGAAATCATGGAACACGTGTTTTAGCTTTTTTTGTATCTTTCATACTTTTCGAGATAATCAGCTGGAAAGTTTTCAAATGAACATCCTGTATATATTTATTCCTTAATATTTAATAATATTGTTTATATAACAATATATATATAACTTTATATTTTATTTTTTTATTTTTAATTTAATTTTTAATTTTTAAATTAATTCTCTCATTAATTATCATATTTGTAAATCATATCGCATTATTATTTCTTGCTTCTTGATTGTTGTACAAATCGGTAAAATGTACAAATTTAAGATGTAAAATCTGTGTTCTTAGTTTTTATTCTTTTCTAACTCCGTTAATTGTGTAATATTGTTTAAGAATAAACAATAATGATTATAAAAGTACTAATATAATAAATGCTTTCGCAGAGATTTAATTTTAAGATTTTTAAGAAATTTGGCAAGCATTCTTACTAATTGCAGGATATTATGGATTTGCGAGGACACAGATGCGCTGTTGCGGATAGACGTAATCAAGTCAGCGCCGCCGGATTACTCTTCAATCATCTGCACACAAAAGGCGAGAATCCGGCGTTCTTCGGCAATACTCTAGGTTAGTTTAAAATATTTTTTATATCTGTATTATGACAATTTATATACATATAAGGTAAACCATTAAAACTTACCATCTAAAATAACTTGATAAATATTGGTTTTACGCAAAAACTTTTTGGATAAAACCTAAATGACTGAAGGATCTGTATTTGTAACTTTATTTTTTGTAACTTTAACTTTTTATAACTTTATTTTTTTCTTATGAGGAGCCAAGGTCACATATGAAGGTCGATTTTATTTTTTTTACGAAATACACCATCTTCAATTAATTGTGATTATAGACAGTTAAGAGATGAATCCAACAGTATCATCTACAATCATTTGACCTTGAGATAACCTCAACATTAAAAAAAATAAAAACAATACTAGACATTGAATAAATTCTATTAATGTTACGAGAACGTGCAATATTATACTTTTGTCGATTATAAGCCTACGCAAATTAAGTAGCTACAGCTTCTTATGGACAAAAGTACCAAAATTTCATAAACATTTGTGTAAATTTTCATAGGTATGGCGTGATGGATGATTTTGATTCGGAAATTGTGCGGCAGATCTTTACGCGCAGATTATAACTTCTTTTAATTTTAAGTCATCTCAAGGTCACAAATATATATTATTTATCTCTTAATGATCTATAATCACAATTAATTGAAAATAGTGTATTCCATTTGAATAAATGGAGCTGACCTTTATGTAACCTTGGCACCACCACATAAGAAAAAAAACAAAAATACAGATACTTTATATTATTTGATCTTATCTAAAATGTTTTCACGTGAAAACAATATTTATTAAGTTATTTTAGATGATAAATTCTAGTGACTTACCTCCGATATACATATATCGAGGGAGGGAGGGGTAAATAGATGAATTTAAATTTTTAGTTGCGGCCCAAAAACCATCCCTCATATGTAAAGCGGCTTTTTGCTTTTCACGATATATCTCAAAAATTATTATTCGAGATATCAAAAAATGTTTCATACAAAAGTTTTACGGTAAGAATACCTCTATTTAACCACATTAATAAAATTTTGAAAAAATATTTTTATATAATTTTCTAGATATATCGTGAAAAGCAAAAAATCACTCTACATATAGTTTCACCTCTTAAAATCGTTTTTTTGGACAACAATTGAAAATTTCTAAATTCATCTATTGAACCTCCCCCCCCCCCTCCCCCTACATGTGTACAGTAAAATTTCATCAAAATCAGAATTTTCGGGTTTGCGAGGTTCCCTTGTAAGTTTCTTCTAGGGCTTCCAAGTATTCGGATATCCGGATCCGGCTCCGATATGAAAACTCAAAACCACACTATTCGGATTATTCGGATAATCCGGATAATTCGAAAATTATTTATCCGGATAATTCGAATTATTCAGATCTAGATTCAAATCTGAAGAAGAATCTCGAGATTATAATTAATCAGATCCCATTAATTATATAAATAAATGTTACATGCAAACGATTAATATTTAAGAAACAAACAGAGAAGCTTAACTGAAAGATATGAGGCATATTTTTGCCAGAAAAATATATAGATGAGAAAGATTGGGCAAACATGAGCTGATTTCTGTCTAGAAAACGTAACATAAATTATGTATGTAATCTTATATTTTGAATTGCTAAATGCGAAGTAGAATTTTTATTTATAAGTATTCATTATCTAACTTCGTTGATTGTTTTGAGAGATATCTTAAAAATAACCATTTATACATACGTCATTTTAGAATTATACATACGTCATTCGAGATTTAAATTCGCATCTGAAAATCGCTGCAAATCTAGATCCAGATCCGAATTTGATATTCTTTTATTACTCGAATATTTGAAAAATCCAGATCCTCGGATAATCTGAATTTGAAGCATCACTTTTATTCTCCGGATCATTATCCGGATAATCGGATATCCGAAAAGTGTTAGATTCAAACAAAATTTGAAGCTTTCGTTTCTTCCATTTCAATTATTTTGCAGACGCTAATTCGCAGCTCGCCGTATTGCAAATGGTTGCCGGCAAGCAGGCAGAAGTGGGAATTTTAGAAGCACCAGTGATCAGATGCCACAAATTTGCTGTACCGGGCGCGGAATTTCTTCACATCCTCACTAGTTTAGGACCCTTGCCGCCTTATCGCATCATGATCAACAAGACAAGCTTAGGTACGATATTCTTCTTTCCATCTTAGATACTCTCAAAAAATTATAATTAATATTTAGATTTCATAGAATTGTCTTGCCATTTTTGTAACTAGTATAAACAATCTCATTATCTCAAATTTATCCTGAATTTATAAAAAGCAAAAAACTTGGATAAAAACTAGAGACCAGTATTTGATCATATCGATCATGTAGATTTTATGTAAAAAATTGCTAATTGTAGTAAAAAAAATAAAACTTAAAAATTAGATATTTTATGAACCAAAAAACATAAGAAAATATATAACTGCTGAAATGAAAATGACAGATATTTCTTACGTTAAAACTATTGGCAAGTAAAGGAAATATCTTGAATTTATTTCTTTATGTTTAACTATACTTTTAATTTTATCTCGTTTCATTCCGTTATAATAACTCCTACTGTGTTTATTTAGTGAACAATTTCGCCAAAGAGCTCGCAATTTATTTACGAAGCATAAATCAATACAAGGAATGGATGGACAGGCTGTCGCCCTTCGGTGTCATCGGTTTCGCTGAGAATTTGATGGACTACTATAACTTGCACGACACGAAGCCTGTAATCACCAGCGTACCTTACTATTAAGTGTGCTTTAAGTAATGATTTATTCTTCATTTCTTCACTCTTTTTGCATACATACATAAATTTATTTTTACACTAGTTCTTTCACAATATGACCTTTTATTAAATTTAAAACAATGATTCATTCATTTATTCTTGATCTGTATATTTAATTCGTCAAAAATCTGTATATTTAATTCGTTCTTTCTCATCCGATTCTACTTCCTCTTTGTTATAACACCGATTAATTCTGAATTGAGTCGCAATTAATATACACAGCGTGTAAAATATTATCAAAATCTGCTTTGCAAACTGTACAATTTTTCTAGGAAAACTACGATCTAAAAGCAGTAACAACCCGATGAGGCTCGTCTTCTAATGAATACTCAATTTTTTTCCCTTTTTTCATTTTTCAAGTAATTTTGTCATTCTATAAATTAAAATTACTTTGAATCAGCAATTCTTGAACCCAGCAATTCTTTAAGATCTTGGTAGATTTAATAATTTAAATGAATATGAAATAAAATTGCGAAGTACTTCAAACTTTTCAAAACCCACAACTTTCTGGAATTTTTAAGAAATACTAGCGTTTCAAGACTTTACACATCACGATTTGATGACATTGATGGCTTTAATGATTAACTTTTTTTTAAGATCAATATTAAAGCTTTAAGATTATTATCTTTAAAGATGAAAATCTTGATCTTCAAGATATTGAAATTACATTATTTCAAATAATTACACCTTTTGAAGCAAATTTAAACTTTCGTTGTACGATTGAAATATATATATAATTTAAGTTCTCCATTTTTTTTAATTTTTCATTAAAATTTCTCCATTAATTCATCATTAAACACGTAATAGGTTGCTTGTATGTATTTTTCGGGAGATCATAAAAAGTCAGGTGGAAGCATTCCATTAGCAGGACGTATAGTACCATTTGCCAAAGCGTTGCTCAAAAACTCCTCCAGCCGCATCAGAGGTCCGCTGTCGCCACCATCAGCAACATTACGCACACACAGATAATATTTCTCCCTTAGCAACGCCAGTAATTTGTGGAATTGCATCGGATAAGCAGTCCATAATACATTCCCGGCGACCTCAAGCATGTCCAGTATTAAGGTCGCACATAAGCCACAAGTATCAACTCTTGGTTCTGAAAATTGAAATGCCATATGTCATCTTTATTTTTTCAGCGGTACATTTATGAACAATTCTTGAAATTGTATTTTATTTTAGATAATTCTTTTATCTTTTTATATTTTTGAAAAATCCATTTCTTACTTTAAAAAATTTTAATGTTTAAGTTTTACTATGCTAAAGATAATATTTTTACCAATATTCAAAACGACTGCCAGCCATCTCCAGGCATACTCAAGACCATGAGGATGAGGCTTGATGACACCTCTTCGTTGTCCTGTAACGGTAATCGATGCATACAATCTCATGAATCCTGACATTCTCTTAAGAAACTTGTCCTGCTGTTCGACAGTGCCATCCTCGGAATATTTGCAGCCAAGAGATTTATAATAATCTTCATTGGATTGGCCCTCTTGTTGCGGCAAAAATATTGGCACAGTGAACGGACACACCTCGTGAAGGTGGGCTAGAACCATCTCACCAAAATCTGCATGTTCGTTCCAAAGAGCCACAATGATCATTGCCACAGGAAACGCCATTTCCGGTTTGCTGGATATTAATGTCTCGCCTTGGCTCTACGGATTCATAAAATGTCGATTATAAATTTACTTTACACTAACAAAACGCTTTAAATTACAAAATAATTGTTTATAATTTAAATTAACTTTTGTATCATTTTCATGAGTCAATTTTTTCCTCACTTTTAAACTAAAAAAATGGAGGTTACATAAATTTGGTCATGATAATTATACGCGTGTGTCTATGTATTTGTGTAATCGAAAATCTTGTAGATTATGTTGCAAGTTTAAAGATACATACAACAATTTGTTTCGCTAAATGATCTTTGCAGAAAGTCACTCCTTGTGGATACTGCATCACATTAGGAGATGATTTTCCAATCAAAAGATTCTGCAGCCTGTCGTATTTGTCTCTCAAATGTTGCTTGCTAACACTAGAGATTGCGTTCACTGGAATGTTGATTGCTTTCTGACATTCAAAACGAAATTTTTTGGTAGCAGCAGATTGTAAAAAATCTTTATGAGTGTCCCTGTAAAGATCTAAAAAATGTCGGCTCTTGATGTAAATCTCCAGTGACTCCTTATCGACATACTTAAAAAGATTTCCTGTAAATTTACATGACAAACACATTAAATTTCTATTTAGATAAAAATTACATAAATTTACACAATGAACATATAATTAATTAATCTTTCTATTTGCATTATGCAAAAAATTTTGATAGAAAATTATATGTGATTAATCTAAATAATAAGTTAATAAAAATACAAGTATGAATTCAAAATAAAGTATTCTAAGTATACGCAATTGATATAAAATTTAAAATAATTTTGTATACAAATTTTCAAGATTTAATGTACCTATTTTGCATTTTGAACTCTCAGTTGCTTCTTCTGACTTAGAATCGGATATGGACAGCGCAATCGGCTCATTAACCACTACTGTAGTTTCTTGATTTGTTATTATACTGCTTTGTTCTTTATTCTCATTATTTTCCACAGCATTGGTCTCCTCTGGCTGCTGAGAAAGTACTACATCGCCAACTAATAGATTTTTAGTTTCCGCCATTGGCTCGTTGGCAATTTGCGCTTTGTGAATTAATTCTGCTTCATATTGAGCATCTATTTTTTCTATAAAGTTTATAAAAAAATATATTTAATATAAGTTCATCGTCGAAGAGAAGAAAATGTATGACTGCAGAAAATTCACAAACCTATTTCCATTCGAAATATATTTAGTACATCGTCCATGCTGCAAACCAAAGTCTCAACGACATTCACATCTGTGGGTACCAATTCTCCGTTCTACAAAAAGTTCACACAATATTCAATTGTTATGCAAATATTATACAACAATCTGCAGATATTGCCGAAAAAATTTGCGATTTATTTTTCTAATAAATTTAGGATTTAATATTTAAAGAAAATATCCACAACTTTTTAAATCGTAAATTTTTTTCGGAATAGTTAATTTTTTTCTCTATTTTTCGATAATTACTGTGATTTTTTCATTTAAAATTTCCATCTGCTGAGCTAATTCCTTGATTCTCGCAGTGTTTGCCGTGAAGACCACATTAAGTGCGAATTTGTTCTTGCATGCTTTAGACAGAATAGCGATATCAACAAACTTGGCCGCAAGCTGATCCCTGTGAGCCATCACAGTCTTCTTCAATTCTTCTTTTTCTTTCATCCGCTTTCGATATTCTTCGACTTCTCGTTCATGCTTCTCTTTTTGCTCCTGAGCGCGCTGTGCATGCAGCTGCTGCTCATGCCGCTTCTTGATCTCTTCCTGTTCTGCAATTCGCTCTCCCTCAGCCAGAATGTCTGCCAGATTCTCTGCACTCCGACGTTCGCGTTCGCGTGCCATTAATGAATGCGAGTTTGCCATCTGCTTCTGGATAGCGCCATCATTTTCCTTCATTTGCTGAACATGGCGATCAATATTTTTCTACAACACAAGTGAAACTACAACTATAGAAATTACACTGATAAAAGCAATGTCAATTGACATAAAATTATAGTTATTTTAAGTTATTTTTAACAATTTTACTAAAATTATTTATTTAGATAAAATCACATTTAATGATAAGTTTTATTTAAAATATAGTAAAAACTATATTACATTATATACTAACAATATATTTATTAAATGTAAAAAGTTCTATGCATTAATATTAAATCTTGTTTATATATCTAATCAACTTTATAATAAACAAATTACCCGAACTTCCTCCCTCCTTTGTAGCTCACTTTCAAAAAGAATCTTCTTGTATGAAAAGGGAATGCCACTTGAAGTAGATATCATGTTGTGCATGGAGCTAGTGCTAGTTTTCTGTGGAGTCTTAATGTTACATGAGTTTTGCTCATTCTCAATGTTCTCTAATTTGTCAGAATTATTTTCATTCAATGTTGATTGAGGACCGATCATAGTGCACTCTATTTGCATGGTTGCTGATATATGCGCCGCCTTCTTCAATGTAGTAACTTTGAGATGTGTAAAGTCCGACATAATGCTATCCATATCAGTTATCTGTAAAAAAAAGTGTTTTCAAATATTTACATCTAAAATGTAAAATTTCGAAAAGCAAAGTTAAAATTGTTCAATATAAATCCAATTTACTTCATTAACCATAACTTGTGATAACCAATTCTAAATTGAATAAGTATAACATTATATCAGAAATATAAATGTAAGAATAAAACAGAAACTTCATATTATTATTATTTTTAAACTAACTTAATTTCTTAACGGAAATTTAATTCAAAGCTTTCCAGGGCAATCTAATGCTAGAAATTACAAAATCGCAATAAACTACTATCCAAAAATTTATTCCCAGTTTTAGGAAAATATTTCTGTACTTTATTGATTAAACTAAGACACTATATAGATCGCAAGCAATCTTTCGCACCTACTCGACTTACCTTGTCGGATTTTGTTTTTCTCTTTTCTCGATGAAATGACATAATTCTGTTTTGTGATATTTTTATGAAAGAATACAAGAGCACACTCACTCGCACACCTAACCTACAAACGCAACGCACTTGTGTTCACATTTATTTCCTGCCAATTTTGCTACAAATCTCATGTCAAAATTTTCATCTTCTCGTACTATTCTAGTCTATTTAATCTAATAATTAAGTGTGATACTTAATTTATCATTCATCATACTGCAATTTTTTGTAATACTCCACTCGCACTCATTTATGCAGCATTCATGTCATTTTCATACCGGAACCCAGAAGTAGTATATATTCGTTAGGATTCCTCAGTGCTGCCAGTCAAGTCGGGTTGCTTCTCCGCCGGTCGCGCATGCGCCTGTGATGATAAATACAGTTGTGTTATGCCCTATCTACACCGAAGGATAATCCTACTTGTGGCTCATCCGACCACTTTCGCTCGTCTACACTAAGTACAATTTTAGTGTTGTTATATTGGTACCGTTGACTTTAAAACCGGTAATAATTTCAGTACCTAGCCTATAAAACAAACTTTCATCCGATCTAAGGTAACCCGAATTGTTATTCTGTTCGACAGAAGATTATTTTTTATAGAAATATCTTTGTTTTTTATATGCAAATATTTTGATGAGTGATTTGCTTTTTTGAGTTGGTACGATTGAAAACCAACTTTAGTATGATTTTCGGTCGTCTACATTACTCGCTCGCATGAGCCACAAGTAGGATTATCCTTCGGTGTAAATAGGGCATTATAGATGCGCAGGTTGGTGGGCCCCATTAGACTGACAGTTGTAGCATGGGAAGATTCAAATAAGCTTAATATTTTTATTTGTTATTTGTTATTTGTTATTTTAATATTTTAATATTTTACTTTTCTTTAATTTATCCTCAAATGTCTTTATTATTCAATATATGTATATGTTTACTGGGGTCCGTGCGCTCATAATACGTTATTGTGCACGGCCTGGTTTGTAAAGAATTGAAGGGGCAATCCGGCTCGACTGGCAGCACTGTCACTGATTAGCACGCATTAACGTGTAAAGCGTATGTGCGTAATGTGTAATGTGTAATGATTTGGATGTGTGGAAATGACAATTCACAGTTCGAATTTTTCACAAATTATCGCGCCATTGATTCTATGCACATTATTTTCTGTACAGATTTACGCGAGAATCGACGCTGAAATCGATTTCGAGGTAGAAGGAAGCGGATTTCATAGGTTAGGATTATCACATGTGTTATTAGGTTTGTTCTTTATAGCTGAACTGGCTGCACTAGTTCAGAGTTTATCTTTTTCCCTCCACATTGGAAGGAGAAAGATAAACTCTGAACTAGTGCAGCCAGTTCAGCTATAAAGAACAGATCTTATGTCAACAAAAAGTAAACAATACGCAATCTTTGTGCAACTATTAACATCTTTTTTTTCAGAACGTTGGTTTATAATGTACACTTTAAAAATTTTATCAATAAGGATTGTTATGCTGCCATTTATATGGAATTACCATCGGTATTGTATATCAACGTGAACGACATAGCAGAATTAAGAAGGCAAAGAACGGTACGTGCCTTAAATAAATAAATTGTTAATTAAATTAATTAATTAACTGTTAATTAAATAAATCGTGTAATTTATAAAAAATAAATTAAATAAATAATAAAAAAAGATATATGCTAGGAGAAAACACATAACAGGTTCTGGAATAAAGAAATGTCCAAAATCGACAAGAAAATAGATTAGCTAACAAAAAACAATAGGAAAATTAAAATTTAACCTTACATACATATTATCGTAAAGTTCTGTCAAAACATGTTAACATCGAACATCAAACTATGATAAATGAAAAAATGGAGACAACCTATTTACTGTTTAGAACCTCCAACAAATCCTAACTCAACGGATAATATTATTATCAACACCCAACAAGTTTGGAACAGAACAAAAAATTGATTCCATACAAAATAAATTATTTCATAATTTAACAGATATAAAGAACCCAAAAGTAATTGTATTCTATTGCAATCAGATGATAGGTTCTGTTCACATTAACAACAGGAAAAAAGTGATAGTTAAAACATGTAGTGATTTTTATAGACAAAGCTGGCACATAAACTCAAATGACAAGATGTTGCTGTCTTGGTACGAAATTACAAAACAATTCCAAAAAGAAAACCCAAATATAATATTCACAAGAATTGACAAATGTAGCAGTTGCATTGAACAGAATAGAATACATTGCTAAGATGAAAAAATGCTTGCAAATAAAAATGTACATACAGTTATAAACTGATGGAATTTATTATTTTTAAGCAAATATTTATGTATTTTTTTATATTAGAAATATATTTGAATAACAATATTGAATATTCTATTGAATAACAATAGAATAGAAACTGTACAACAAAAATAAATTTAGCTTTAATTTGCTTATTCAATTCTAACATGAATAAAAACCTTACCAAGATAACACTTTCTATTCATAAGATGGAGAAATAAAGGCTACATTATCAAAAATGTGTATTAAATATCACTTTATAGCAACAGTATATGTATATTACTTATAATTAGAGTTTATAAATTATCAAAAATTTATAAATCAGGCATATCTGCACAACATGATCTACAATAACATTCCAAATCCAGTCACAATAGGAATAATATTGAATTAGTATAGAAATTAAACCAAACTGAATTAAAAACCAACCACACAATTGTATCACTAGATGTAGTATCGTTGCTTACAAACATAACAAAGATTTAGTGATTGGAAGTATCGCAAATTGATGAAAATACATATCCAGTCTACATCAAAGGAAGAATTTTTAACGGCTATCAGAATGGTTCTCGATTCCAAGAGTACAATTAAATAACATAGTCGATACATTTAATTCATTCTACAAAAGATTAAAATTTACTGTGAAGTTAAACATAAACAACAAAATAAATTTTTGGACGTCACAATTATAGTTGATAACAACAAAATCCGTTTTAAGTAATACCAATTAATGTTCTCAGGAAGATACTTATTTACATGGCAAATATTTTTATGTTAAAGCACCAAAAAATTAATTGGACATGGAAGGAAAGAAAAATGAGATAGAAATTGGAAAATATAGCAAGAAAGAAAGAAAGGGACGGGAAAAGAGTTTGGATAGAATATGGAAAGATAAGAATAGATGAGTAATAGTAAAAAATGAAGAAAAAATAGAATGGAGTAAAAAATATTTCCTTGGATGAGAATTTTAAAAAATTGAATTATATATACTCTGAGGGAATTATTAAGATGACAGAGAATAAGACAGAATGAAATTGATTATGAGAGAATGATTAAGGGGATCCTAGAGTCTGTTTTACTGATTTCTTTCAAATACACTATACTTTTTTTTGGCTGTGTAGAATGAAAAATCCTTTTCTGTAATTAAAGTACATGTTAATACAGTGTGGAAGGTCGATTTGAAAGGATTTTTCATTCTACACAGCCAAAAAAAAGTAAGGTGTATTTGAAAGAAAACAAACGACTTCAGGATTCCCTTAAGAATGAGATAAAATAAAGTAAATAATATTTCCTTGAGTGAAAATAAGAGAAAATTCAATTATATTGTAAGAATTTTATTATAATGACAAAGATTTAAAGAGAATGAGAAAGAATAAGAGAGAATGATTAAAAATGAGATTATTGAATAAGAAATGTTTCCTTGAGTAAAAATAAGAGAGAATTAAATTATAGGTAAGAATTTACTTTACGACCCACGCGATATCGACTTGAAATTTTTTTACACAATATAGGCCATACTGAGTATAAATATAAAGCGGCAACTTACGAAAACATCTAGAAAAATAAAAATAAGAAAGCGATTTTTTCGATATAATACAGCATCAACTAAAATCAATTATGTATATAATATATACAGAGGGTGTCCGAAAAGTGCCGAAATTCCTTAATATTTCGAAAACTAAGCATTTACAAAAGAAATGTTCCATACAAAAGTTGTAGGGTTGCGTGGTGCATTAGACAGAAATATCAGTGTGACCTTGGTTAGCGCTATTAAGGTCACATAAAAATTACTTTGATTAATTTTTAAATGGAAACCCCTATTTTTTATTACATTTTCTTGTAGTCGATCTCGAGAGCTTTTCAAAACACTATAATAAAGTTATTTTTCCTTAAGAACTTTTAGAGTTATGAGGCTTGAAAGTTACAATATACGTATATGACCGAGCGTATGTACACAAATTAAAGACAAGTGAACAGAATAAATACATATAATTATAAGCGTGATTAACTGGCATTATTCTAAAAGCCCAACTCTTATTTAATTTAGTGGGGGCGTAGATTATATCTATTATACCTATAAAAGATGATTAAAAAAAGATAAAATTAAAAAAAATTTTAATTCTTTACTTTAAAATCTTAATTTTACATTCTTTACAATTACAATTCTTACATTATTTGCATTAATCTTTGACATTGTTTTCGTTCTCTCTTTTATACACATGCACACACACACACACACAACTGATATAATTGACACAAAAACCTATTTTAAAACCTGATTAATTAATAATTTTCACTTGTAACATTGCAGAATACCGTGTGTTCTATAGGCGAAGTTGATGTCGAGTTGTTCATGGAGAATGCGAGTCAACAAAATGTGACAACGTGTGCATCCATAAATTCGTCATCGTGTAGTTTAATGATACCTTTACATCAGCGTTATCAGTACGCCCGTGAAACAGACAGTTACATCGATGTGATCGTGCCTAAGCCAAAACTATTGCTAGGTTGCCGAAAAAGGATCAAAGACCACAGAGTGTCCAAGACAGATTTATGCAAGCCATGTGACAATCTAGTGACCAAGTGGCGTGAAATTTCATATCGTATGTCGAATGATCACGATTACACATGGTCAATGCCAATCGGAGACTCGTCTCTCTCGATGTTTGTCACTTATATCACGTTATTGGTAACGCTTATCGGCGCGATATTCACCGGACGTGCCATTCGCAATAATGCGTCAAACAATCATCAGAAAACAGATTGAAGTAATTAAGATTTAATACAGATATTCCAGAACTATCAATCTTTTATTATTGAATGATCTATTTGATGAATTTATAGATAAAACGTATTTATACACGCTTTTGAGACGATACTGATGTTCTACCGTTTAGCTATAAAAATGTAAATTACACTCACATCTACATAGAAATAAACATGTTCACGTTCAATTTGGAAAATGAAATGTCATTGCATAATTTAACATTTTTTATATTTGATCATCATGGCATCTTCTCAGCATTTTTATGCTCCTCTATTGTCGCGATTGGCTCCATCGATATTTTGTGTGTGGTGTTACTTTGTCTGCTCTTGATTTGGTCATTCCACTTTTGCACCTTGCTGGTGCCAAATAAAACGAAGATTAGATTGCCTGCTATATATATTCCGGCTGACAGGAAGAACACGGTTCGCCATTGCAAAATATTAGTCTAAACAGAAAAAAATAATTAAATTGATTACATTAAATATATATTTATAATATATTTTTTCAAGTCAAAAAAATAATTATAAGAACGGAAACACAAATGTGCATTTTTACGAACAGCATCTTGGACGATCATGCTAGTAACCAGTGGCGCGAGCAAGCTGCAAGCAGACGCGATGGTGTTTGTAAGTCCCATTAATATGCCGGCAAAGTTTGGGCTAAGATCCATGTGATTAACATTATGGCCACAAAAAATGGCGACATTGCTAGACACAGCGAGTACGAGAATGCCCACTGCCAATTCCGGTTGATCTTGTTTTACATAGCCGAGCCCGATCAATGCGGCCGCCGGGAGCCATTGACCGATCGTATTGCAGATCTTCCGGGACATCTGCGTCGTTATAACTTTCTTTCTGATGCTTAGATCAGACACAAGGCTGAACGGAAAACTAACAATCCATGCTGTAAGGTAGGGCAATGCAGTCATCAGGCCGTTCTGTATAATTATAGAGCAAAAAATATAGAGCATTAGTTGATTTCGCTTAAATTCAAATGTAATAATTTTGCATTTTTATAATTTTTTTTGTTATTTGAATTAATTAATGCGTCTATTAATTTTAATTATCTTAGATTTTATTTTAAAGCTATATTATTTGAAAATAAATTATATTATTAACTATATATTATAACTATATATATTAAACTAGAATATTTCAGAAAATTAAATTTTTAATGACAACAGAATATTTTTATTGTTAAAGAGAAAAATTGTAAAATGTTATCCACAGTTTATCTTATGTTTAAAAATATATAACATTTTATCGATAAATATAATTATATATGTTTTTCACAAAATAGCCTAATTGTAAGTATAATTTCATTAATTTTTTTCGACCATCATTAATTCGATCAATGACAATATATAGCGATACTGAAATAATCTAATGTTTAAAATGTCGTTGATAAACTTGAGGTTCAAATCGTTTTGAGTTGATGGCATATATGGCGTATATGGCGTATTAATCATTCTTTCATCGTGCTCTCTTGTCGGCATATGCATTGAACTATTAATTAATATTCTGAACGCAGCATATATACGATTCTTCAAATCGAAACACGTACACGTCTTTATTCGAGGACTAATTCCAAGGTTTTGTAAAAGTTCAACGCAATTATTGACGAGATTAAACGAACTCACCTTTTGGATGTCGAAACGCATGATCGAAGTCATGTAGGACGGAGTTTCTGTCAATAACATCCAAAATCCCCAACCTTGTGCACATTGCGTCACCAACAATGCCCAGACCGGCAAACTTCGGAATATGGATATCCACGGAGTATTGGGTTTCTAAGCAGAGAGAAAAAGGAAATAATGTATAAATGAGATTTAATCATTTACGCATATATAAAACTTAATTAAATTGTAAGATTCGAAATTTGCATGAATTATTGCTTGAAATTGATTGAAATTATTAAGTGCAATTTTAAAATTCGTTTTTGCGTTTAATCACATAATAATCATATTTGGCATAATCTTTTTCTCCTTCCCTTTTTCCCTTAATGTATTATTGAGGAAATGATTAACCTCGTCGATCTCGGTTACTCCGAGACTTATCTCGATGTATTCTTTTTCATCGAGAGGTATGCTGGGATGTTCAGAGGGTGAGTTCTTTCCGAACAAATAGAAAGCGATACCGCAGAGAACGCTGAGACTTCCCCAAACGTAAAAGCAGCTAGGCCAACCTATGGGAGATGCTGCTAGAAAGCCGGTACTCAATAAGCATACCACATTGCCCATCCAGCCGCCAGAATAAACAAATGTTGCTGGAAAAGTACAAACGTACTACGTCAATACAATATCATTTTATTCTCAAAATTTGTCACGCCAGTTATTCAAATCAAATTTCGATTTGTTGAACCTTTAGAAATTTGCATTTATTGAAAGAACCCCGCACAAATCTTATGGAAAATGGGTCTCGGTCAAATTGCTTCAAATTTTAATATTTTGTAGCTCATATCAAGCTGATTAAAAGTTTTCACGGGCACAAACCTCCAAATGCCTTAGTTTTTGTTCCAGGACCTTAGAAGGTCATCACATCTTATACGAAAAAATAGTCAAAATAAATTTTTTTTACTAATAGTTATGAATACTGTATAATATTAGGTCTATAACTTGAAATCCGTTTTTTTTTTTTAGGAAAAATTAAGTCTTTATTTAAAAAACAAATGAAAAAAAGACCAATCAAAGTATTGGCCATCGTTAGATATGACTTTTTCCCATCTTTCTGGCAATACGCGGATCCCACAACAAAAGAACGACTCATCTTTAGAGATTATCCAGTCAGAGACCCATTTTTCAACGCTTTCATAAGAGTTGAAGTGTTCCTCAGCAAATGCGTGTGCCATCGACTGAAACAAGTGGTAGTCGGAAGGGGTACAGTCTGGTGAATAAGCCGCATGAGGTAGCACTTCTCAGCAAAGTGCTTCCAATGTTTCCTTGACAGCCTCAGTGACGTTAGGTCGAGCGTTGTCATGAAGCAAAATCACTTTATACTGTCTTGTCTCATATTCTGGTCGTTTTTCGCGCAATGCTTGGCTCAAACGGATTATTTGTTGTTGGTAGAGATCCCCTGTGACTGTTTGACCAGGTTTCAATATCTCATAATATACCACACCGTTCTGGTCCCACCAAATACAGAGCATGGCCTTCTTCCCATGAATATTGCGTTTTGGCGTCGATGTCGATGGTTAGCCTGGGTCGCAAATGATTTTTCGACGTTTGGGGTTATCGAAATAGATCCACTTTTCATCGCCAGTCACAATTCGATGCAAAAACCCCTTTCTTTTTTGCCTGGCAAGCAGTATTTCGGAGATGGTTTTTCGCCTTTCGATATCTCTTTCTTTCAGTTCATATGGCACCCATTTTCCTTCCATCTATACCTTTTCCATGGCTTTTAAACGCTTGGAAATGGCTGCTTGAGTAACATCCAACATTTCTGCAAGTCGATTTTGTGTTTGACATGGATCTTCATCCACCAATGCTTGCAGTTCTGTATCTTCGAATTTTTTTTTGCTGGACGTTCTTTATCATTCATCAAAATCATTAAGTTTAAATTATCGAAACCATTCATTGCAAGTTGTTTTCGATAGAGCAAGTTCCCTATAAGCTTCAACAAGCATTCGATGAGATTCAGCAGCGGTTTTCTTCAAATTGAAACAGAAAAGCAAAGCTTCGCGCAAATTATGCTTATTTGGTTGAAATTCAAACAGTTTCTTCGCAGTAAAAAACTATGTTGTTGTCACAAATACAAACTTTTATATACTGAATATTATTGACAGATGTCAAAACTATAAATGATGCCTTGTTCAGCCATTACAATTGACGATTGTCAAAGTTACAGCTATTTATCGCTAGAGAGCGGGTTTTAAGTTATAGACCTAATATATTCATGGATATCATGGATATATACTGTATATATGTCACGGAAAAATATATCGAATATAATATTACGAAAAAAGTATTACATTCTTCAATATCACTATTGAAATCAATATTAGACGCAGCACATAGACCTCTACAAATAAATTTTAATAATCGAGAATTACTTGATATTGAAGTGAGTAATTGAAGAAAAGAATTTGAATAATTATATTATACGTGAAAAGCAAGAGGACTACCGAAAATCAAGCACCCAATACGTGAGAGGCAAGGGGACTCACGAAAATCAAGCATCCCGAAGGAATGAAACGCCCGTCTCGTCCACGTCGTTCATTCTGGGTAATTTTAAGAACGGGCGAAAAACTAAAATCATAAATGTACATTTGCAGATGCACATTGATTAAAACATGCACAAGTGTAGTAAAAAAGATTTATTTCGACTATTTTTCCGTATAAGATGTGATGACCTTCCGAAGGTCCTGGAGCAAAAACTAAGGCATTTGAAGGTTTATGCCTGTGAGAACTTTTAATCAGCTTGACATAAGCTACAAAATATTAAAATTTGAAGCAATTTGACCGAGACCCATTTTTCATAAGATTTGTGCGGGGTTCTTTATCATAACTAAATTCATGAGACACTATGTGATTCTTTTGGAAATCCGAGAAACTTCTAAGATTGTTGTAACGATAGGAAATCAGAAAAGAATGGAGAAATTTTAATTTATCGGAACTTTTATAGAAATTTTCTTATTGCATAATATTAATTATGGAAATCTTTTTGCACCAAACATGTACGCGCGAGAATATAGACGTGCTTAATCGACTCAACATTACTCAATTGCGATAAGAATTTTCTCTTATCTATGGTATGCGTCAAACTCCACGTGCTTGTCAATTAAATCGCACTTCTGCGATACGTGAATTTAATGAAAAGCAGAAATTGCTTTGTTATACAATCAGTTAAGCGTTAACTAAATTCGAAAGAAACACATTGAAGAATCAAATTAAAACGGTTATTATCTTACCGAATAAAAAACGATGATTACGTTTAAAGGTCCAGCATTTAAGCATTCCGAAATATTCGTAATATATCTATGTAAGTATCTATCCGTCAGAATCATTGGAATTATACAATAAACTCGCCGTAAGATTCAAATAACTCGGAAAGCTAGTTTTCAAAGTTTTGTTTTAATGAATAAATAATAAAGCAATATTGATTTCTAATTTTTATATTTCATATTTTATAGGTAAAAAAAGATACTGCTATATTTCATTTTATAGATGAAAAATATGAATCAAATTACTAGCCAATCAAATATTGAGAACTTTCTGACATTTGCAATATTTATTATGCAATATTTATTATATTAAGCAAGAATGAAAGCATTTGCTTCATGCTGTTTAATTAAAAGCGTATACTCACAAAATCTACCACGCTCCTCGGGTGGCGTCCATTTAGACAGCAGGGTGTGCAGACACGGTAGAACGGTGCCCTGTGCGAGACCACAAATCACCCTTGTGGCAACGACCATCTGCCAGCCGCCGTAATAAGCGGCAATGGGAGCGCTGAGGGTCAGCAAACCCGCGAGGATTAGAGTCAACGAGAATAGTCTCTGAGCGGTCCATTGCTGGGCGAGAATACTAGCAGGTATTTGCGTACAGGTGTAGCCCCAAAAAAAGGAGCTCAAAATCAGATTCTTTATTTGCATGTCCCAGTCAAACTCCTTCGGCAGACAGAGGAAATAATCCGATGGAATAATAGTCCGTTTTGGAGCATTATGTGCGGATGTCATCGAAAATCATTGCTATTATTGATACACACCTGGAAATTGGGATTGGCGCTGGCCGCATTGGTCATTGCTTCCAGAGTCACCGATGGCGTTACCCGAAGGGCATAGCAACAAAAGAAGCCTAGGCACATGAGTATCACTTGTGTGTGTCTGCATCCAAACCATGCTGCAAGATTCACAATAATATAATGACATATAGTGACAATCGTATATATAATAATAGGAATAACAAATTCATTAAATAATCTCGCGCTAATGCCGACGACACACTGACAATTCTGAGAAAGATTGTCCAAAATGCATGTTTTTGCATAAAACATGCAATAAAACGGCAAAAAAATCGCAGATTGATTTTTAATAACTCGTTCTAAAGAAAAAGATTTAATCTTCAAATTCATGCAAATTAAAGCACGAAAAAATTTTAACAACTCCACGGAGTCGTTTAAATTTACAAAATTTTTGAGATTTAAATAATGTTTAAATTTCCCACTTTGCTTCCTAGCGCAAAAACATTTTCGAGAAAAATCGACTTATAGACGTGAAAGTAGAGGCTTCGCCTTTTAAAATAATCTCAGAGAAATTGTACAATTTTTTTTGTAAAGTTATAACGATTATTAAATCGGCAATTCTTCATGAGAAATTTAATGAGTCTTTAATTTTATTGCTTAATATGTTATATTTTTTAAATGATATTATATCTCAATAAAATCAAAGATTCTAAAAATTTTAAATATTCCTTTAACTTATAATATCATAAAAAGATATTTGCATTTAACTGCAATTTTTTCTTCATTTTTAGTATCTTTTCGATATTATTCCCGTGCAAAGTTTAAATGGACGTCACATAAAGATGCGAAATCGAATACAAATGATATTGTCATCAAGATCGCATTACGTCAGTAAGACCCGTACGCTCGGTATTTGTACTTGAAAACCAACAAGTGCATCAGTGAAATCGTCAGTGAATGTGAGCGCGATCGATGAAATTTTAATTGCATTTATCCTTTTATTCCGTGGAAGATTTTAATCAATAATTAATCGCAATACTGTTTTTATTTGCGAGATGTACGGATTTCCCCGAATTGTTTTGAACCAAATATAAATCAGGAAAAAAGCAGTAAATATTGGATTAAGGGAAAAAAGAGTATAACAATACTACAGAAAGATTGAAAATTTACAATGTATGTAATACCGTAATAAGATAAATTTTATCTAGTTTTAGTAAATTCAAAACAGATGCGTCTATCAAAGAGGAAAGCTATACGGATTAATACTACTATTAAAAATTAGCATTAACTATTATTTCGATATTATTTTGTAATAAATATTCAAGTTTTCTTTTGATTATTTTTTTTATTTCTTACTTATACTTTTTTGTACACTAATAATCAAAGATATGAATCAATAATCAATTGATCTTCTCTTTGATTGATTACATCTTTTATCATATAATCACAGAATGACAGATATAAAATACAACACAAGACGCTTATGTCAAAATTGCCGTGATCAAATAATAAATGTTATGTATTTGTTTAATTATTCGAATAATAAATATAAATAAATATATGACAAATATTAATATATTTTTCTCTATATCAATTATTTTGATATCTCAATTAGACATAACATAAATTCAAGATTGACATAATTGACACTCCGTCTGATATTGCACGTTGATATATAAATACTCTCTGAAATATTCGCGACGATTATTTCAGAAATAAGGTCTTATCAACAATTTGACCATCAAATAATTCAATTTTTTTTCTTCCGACGATCCTATCTAGCGTTATCGTTATCAAATTCTCGTATTGTATTTAACAATTTGTACAACATATTCGCAATAATACCTCGATATAAATTATGTAACTATCTATAACTTGATAAACTGATGGTATTCATGAAGAGAAGAAAAAGATTATGTATTATTTACACAATTCTTTATATATTTATTTTGTTTTTATACTTTTTATAAGATTTTGTATAATATTGTATATAATAAAAATTGTATATAATTCCATTAAATAAGCATTATTAACTTGTTTTTAATTCTAATTTTTATTGAAATCTTTTTTTCAATAAAATATTTTTTCACGAAATACTTCCATGATAAAGAAAAATCACTTTTGAATGTAAATTAAGTAAATCACCTTTTGGTTTATTTGATGGGGTCTTCATTCTTCCCGAAAGAGAAACGATGGAAACTCTTTTTCTTTGCAAAGGCGGTGCCATTATGATGAACCTTTCAGTGAAGCAAACACAGGAGCAAATCACAGAAATGACTACGATCCGTCAATCGTACTCACATAGCTTTATACTGCGTCTCCGAAAAGATTCTCCCACTCTTTTGCACTCAAACGCACTGTACACTACACTACTATATCTCTTCCAACAATGCAATTATTATACAGCAAGAAATTATACATAAATAATCTGCACAATTAACTAAAAATATCTTTGTTCATAATATTCTTTTAAACCTGTTTTTTCTTTAATATATGTATCGCGAATAAAATCAACATTTAATTATTGTATAATTGTTGTATAATTAAATGGAATCAATTGTACAAACTGTTATGAATTACAAATTAATTTTTAATAACATAGAAAAGAAACATATCATGTAAAATAAAAACAGGAAAAATATTTCTTTAGTTTTTATAAGAAGAATAAAAAAATTTTCTCTATTTAAAAAGATATTATATACAATACATATATACAATATACAATATCATCATATAATATTGGCTTATGTAATAAGTAATATCAGATTTTTTAAATTTGTCTACTTTTTTTGTTGGACAAAGCATAGTTTTATTAATATATTACATTAAATATTTATTTATCAAAGTTGTAATCAAATTCCACCTATATCACAATTTTTTTCATGTTACGTAAAAACGCACTGAGTGAAAAACAATACACCATCTATTGGAAAATACAAAGTTACTAATTACGTAACCCAATACTTTCTTTTGTATGTATTTTTCTTACAAACATATATTTTAAGATATATGCAAACCGGAAACTGGAAATAAACAACTCTCTAAACTTTTATTTAATTATTTAATGTCAATTATGTTAATCATGTGACACATTTTAAAGAAAAACTTAAATATCGTTATTAAGGTTCGTTCTGCATAAATTATTTCGAAGTTAGCATGTACGTTAAAAAAACTGAAGATTCAGTGAAAAAGAACAAATTCAATAAAATTTATGACTGTTTTAATGATTCTCAACTCTTTATATGGTTACATTTTATGAATATATAACGGAATCGATCGTGTCTCGATAAATAATCGCATTTCTTTCGTCCTACAAAGATAACGCGTTTAGCGCGAACGTTTGTGATTTGAACACGGTGACAAATGTTTGTCTGATAAAGATTTGTTCTCGAGTGCCCGAACCGAATTGCTTCGTCGATGTGAAAATATCTATTGTTGTTTGCAGATCTATATGCATTAGAAAACGTAACATTTATTTCATTTTTTTGCAATAAATTTTTAGACATTACGTTGTTACATAAGATATCCTTTACACGGAAAGAACACTTTTTCTCAAAGATCTAAAAATTGTACCAGATACAAATCTGAAAACAAATTTTGTTGGACATTCAAAATTTATCAATAGAGCACTCGACCTTGATTTACTACGAATCATCAAAACTTTTTGCTGCGATATGAAAAAGATTTGCTTTATAAATTTTGATGCTTAATAAATTTTGATTGTCCAACAAAATTTATTTTCAGATCTGTATCTGGCACAATTTTTAGATTTTTTTAGCAAAAGTGTTCTTTCCGTGTACGTAATCCTTTTATAATTGACATTAAAACACTTTTTTATAACAAATTTTTAGAATAATTGTTGTAGAATTTACAAAAAAAATTATTCTTAAAGAAAAACAATATTTTGTCCAACTTCTCGTCTGCTTTTGAGACAATATAACATGCGTAACTTTTGAAATTGCACGTTATATTACACAATATATGTATTATAATATACAGGGTAATTCTAAATAATATTGACTGAACTCTCTGGATTAACTCTGTTTAAGTTAAAATAGAAAAAAGTGGTACAGAAAAATTTTTCATTGTTTAGAGTTATTTTAATCTGCGCAGGCGATCAGAGCAAATGTGAAAAATCATTCGATACCTGTGCTGGAGTGGTTTGCGCAGATAAACCGGAGCGTGTGTAGCAGCGTAACAGACCTCAGTTTAGTAATGCCAGACCGAGCATCCTGCAACATAAGCAACATGAGTGGTGAAGGCATGCAACTCAAGCGAGGCCTCGCATCCGTGTACGCTCGGCTGTTCGCTTTGTAGAAGCGAGCAGCCATATACCTTGTCTCGCTTCCATCAAATCGGCAAAAAGGCGTACAGCGTACGATAAATGTTAAGAAGCAAGCGTTTCTAAGACTAGTAACTTGAATATTGAAGATATCGTGTTTGAAAAATGCTTCTCTCTCTCTCCCCCTCTCTCCCTCTCTCCCCTCTCTCTCTCACACAACTTTTTTTCTTTTTTACACATTAGTTTCTAAGTAATTGATCAAATTATATATTAAATGTTTTTAACCAAAAAATATTATTTTATATTTATTAATAATATTCGCATATGTTAAATTTGCATTTTATTGCAAAATTGTAAAATTATTTTTTATTTTTCTATTGACAATAGCAAATCAGTATTTTTTTCTAGCCACCCTTACTATTTTAGCCACCTTGGCATTTATCTTCATAGACTTGAAAGAAAGATTTATTAATTAATTATTTACATATAATAATTAATTAGTAATAACTAATAGTGGCTTTCCACGCCATCCATGAGGTGCCACTCATAGCGTGCTAGATTTTTTTAATGTGGATCTTCGCCTGCAACTTTATTATACATTTTATTATATCTGTAAAAGAGAGATATATATAAACATATGTCTCTATATACAGGGTGTCCCATTTTATTTTAAACAGCTAAATATCTGGAAATCACAGAATTTTAGAAAAAAATGTTTCGTACAAAAGTCTTGACTTCGAGAGGGACATAGATTTTTTTTTTTAAATCCTGTGATTTCCAGATATTTGACTATACAAATATATATACAGAGTATTTTATTTTATTTTTGACAGTCAAATATCTCAAAAAATACAAGACATACGGAAAAATGTTTTAGACATTCAAAATTAAGTAATTCATGATTATACGATTAAAAATATGTAGTTAAAATGATATCATGTCATATTTTTTCTTGAAGACAAAAGACTGCATGAAATGTCGATAAGAAAAGAAACTATTAATGTTTGTAATAAAAATGTTTTTTATTTATTTGTTAACACATACCAACAATGAAAATAATGAAATAATAACAACAAAAAATAATAACAATGAAATAAGAACAAGATATAACGTTATCGTTATCTGGAACGTAGAATGATTAAGCTAATGATTAATTAATGATTTTAAGCTTTGTTGCGCGTTACGCAGCATTTCTGGTGTGACAATCACGAATGCCTCAATTATTTTTTCGTGTAATTCTTCACAATTGTTGACGCGCTCTTGATAAACATATTCTTTTATCGTGCTCCAAAGAAAAAAGTCTATTTTTTCATCCATAGACGCATATTGTTAGCGTTGAAGATCTCATCGTCCGTAAAACACGATTCATCGATAAATATGATATTACTTAAAAAATCATGATATTCACATACAAAAGACGATCTACATAGTATACACCAAATGAAAAATATGAAAACGAGATGATATATTGTAAAACGATCAATCTTGAGCAAAATAGATTTTACGCCGGTCGAATATTGCGACATGCTAATTATAGTATTTACGACAAATATGAGCAAAACGCTCGTCATACCGCACGCAAGTACAACGTCTGCAAGGACGTCCGCAGGATTTTTTCTAGGGATGGGCATGATCCAAAATATTATTTTTCGAATTAGCATACAATATATATATCAATATAAAAATGGTAATAGGCTCCAAAATTAACAATAATAGGAATAAAAGGCGGAAAGAGCCGTTGCAAGGTGTTCGTGCAGAAAATTCAAATTATATTATGAATACAAATTACAATTATAATCAAACGTTTCTGCCTATGTTAGGCCTTCTTCAGTAACATTACAAAAAAATACATAATAAAACATTGTCTTGGTAATCGGAACATTGAAAAATTAAATAAATAACCATGAATTACGCAGTGAGTTCTTCTTAATAATTAAAATCCAATGTGAGAAGATATAAAATTGGAACTGTAACAATTATTACCCGTGTAAATTAGCATTTTTTGTATTTTTTAAAATATAAAAAGATAATACAAACATTAATACATACTTATAATGAAAGAGCCAGAGAACGATATTGCCCCATGATTCGGCTTCCATACTCATGATAAAATTATTTCGTTAACACTTAAAACTGAGGTGTCAAATTCAAAAGGAATAAAACTGTTAACTTAGTTAAATGGTTGAGAAGGTAATGTACCCTAAGAATTATCAGTACAAGGTTGTGTAGATACCTAAGGCGAAGGAAAAAGGAGGGAGTTCTGATATTACCAAAAAAAAGGAGGGGGGGGGGAAGAATAAAAGGGGAAGAGGAAAGGGGGGAAAAAAATAAAACAGGAGAGTAGGAAAGAGAGAAACAGAAATCAGATTGGTGAGAATAAATTTAGTACTTGTAAATACGAACTAGGTAATGATTCAGTGTCGCTCTGTCTATTTAACCCTTCCTTTTGTCTTTTAATGTAAAGCATTTCTGAGATGAGCCTTTTTAAATATGACGGCTCTTCATTTAATATATGAACGTTCTTCCAATCGAAATCATGGGTGGAATCCAATCTATGACGGGAAATGGCAGAGGGAGAGCCACTTTTTTTGTTAATATCAGTTCTATGTTCTTTGATTCTTGTGATCAACTGTCTTTTTGTCTGTCCTACGTAAGAAGCCTCACAATCCAAGCAAGAGATCTTGTAGACCACATCACAGTGGGACAACAAATCTAAATTGTCTTTCCCCGTTTTGATGAATTTTTTTAGATTTTTAGGGATTGAAAAGAGAGAGAGAGAGAGACGGCCAACTTAAATATATATATATATAAAATTTTAAATTAATACATCTCTTACAAGGAAAGAGACCCAAGTGTCCCCCTCCGATTTTGACGAGCTTTAAATATGTGATAAGCTTTAAATATGTGATAGCTCAAAATAAGAGACACGTATTTTTTTATGTGCTTTCTCGCACGCTTAGGGTTGAAACAAGCTAAAACAGTTTTTTTTATTT